CATAGGTGTTGACAACATCTATAAATATATTTTAAAAATAACTTTCGTTTAAAATACAATAATCCGTATTTAAAAATAACTTTTTAAACAAACAAAAACAAAATGAATGGCAATTTTTATATCAATTAAAAATATTTATGTGTTTAAATCTCACGAACAAAATATTATTACAAAAACAGCTTTAAATCAAAGAAAATTGTTTGAACCGGAGGTGACCTAAACCAGAGGTCGGATTATCTGATTTACAATTATAACTAAATTTACTAATAAACTAAATTAAATTACAAATAAATTAGCTTAATATGTATTATTAAATAGTAACTTTATATTGTTTGATATCTTGTTAGTCCCTCAGATTGCCTGACAGTTACCGCTAATTATGTATGCGTTCAATGAGTTGCGAAAGTTATTGAATGAATGAACAGATCAATGAACACAATAAATATAAGTCTCTTCAGTTTCGAAGTCAATATAATTTTCATTTTAACCTAATTTGAAGTTTACTTCACGTTTCACTGACTATGACTTTCAGCACTTAAAAACAGTTACCTATGAAATAAGTAAATAAATATATTTATTAAACATTACAAGTACTTTCAAATATTGGTAATTGTTTTTTATATTTTTAATTATTGATTGAATCAATAATTATTGATATTTTTCAATAAGACTGGCCATCAGTTTATCCATTACAAGGATTAACCCCTAAGTGTAGTGATAAATATCGTGGTCTTTATTTTTTTAATAAACAAATTTCTAATTTTATTTCTATATATAAAGAATTTTTTTAAAGTTATTTATTTTGTTAAAAATGTTCTTTTATCACATCTGAGATCAGTTTTTAAACATTATTTAGAAATAATTTTTTATTTCCTTAACAGAAGTCGTATATGAAATTCAACAATGTTTTTAAAAAATATAATTTTCATGAAATTTTTTATTTTAAATGAAATACAGTATTCGTTAAAATAAATATTTGTGTATAACTTATAATTAGGACAGTATTCGTTAGTTCATTAGTTTCTGATTTTCACGACAATTATTTGTATTCAAAGCTCTTCACGAAAACATTATTCTTCAGATATAGATATCACGAAAATTATATTTTATTTTTCCCTTTATTTTGTTCTCAAACTTCTAAATATTGTTATTAAATGTATATAAAATTGAAGCCATTTATACATTGCAACCAAAATATTAAATCACTATATTTTTGAAGGACATTAGTATTGATAATATAATATAATATAATATAATATTGTATAATAAAAATATTGGATATTTTAAAATAATTGATAGGTTTTCTAAAAATTACTAAAAATATTTACTAAAATGCCATCAAAATGGATATTTCTTGTAAATTCTTGTTTCATTGCATAATTTGTTTTTCACGAATATTCCAATAAAATATGAATTAATTTAATATTTTAAATGACTTTTAAGATGCATTACTTTTGTCCACATTTGATACCAACTGACAAAACATGATGTTTTAAATACCATTCAATGACATAACCAGAGATTGATATAAAATATAACTTAAGGCTTATATGAGAAGCCGAAAGAGTTTTCCAAATGTATAATTTTAACTATAAGTTTATACTTACCGTCAAATTTAATAAATCAAATAAAGATTCAAATCTTTAAAAGTCTTTGATGTCTGGCTTTAAATATTTCTCTTAACATTCGTCTCACTTCTCAATGAGATTATGACAACCAATTCATTAAGGCTTTCACTCGTTAAGTATTAAACCGATAAAAGGGTTCAATAAATTTAACAAACTTAACGATACATATGAATACCAATTGGTTGTCATTTTTCATTAATATTCCTCAACTATTTCTGTGGAAAAATAGTTAAAATTGAATGAAAAATCTTTTTTAAATGACATAACGTTTTAAAGAGTTTTCAAGACTTTACGTGTCTTTTATTTTATGGATTTATTTTTTATTTGATTTGATTTTAAAGATATACTATTTTGAAACATACTTTTAACACACATTTTGAGTTTGAGATATATGTTTGTAAAATAGTTAATATTAGTTACGTTAGTAATAAATTTTCAGGAAATGTTGAGACAATTGAACAAATATTGTCCTATTCTTTGTTGCATTAAATCATTAGTTTTTAAACCTATTTATATATGAATTTGTTGATGACTTTCTAATGGATTAAATGCAATAATAGATTGACATAAAAACTATTACATAATGTAATCTTAAATCGTGAATTAAAACTGAATTTTTAGTTATTCTCTGGGATTTAAAGTTTAATTTTTTAAAATTTACTTCTTTTAAAAAGTTAGAGATTACATTAAGTTGTATTAAAAACATAAACTGTTTTATAAGTAATTATTTTATTAAAATGTATAATAATAACAAAATTTATTTCATAACTTAAACAGGAGTTTATCTTTAAATTTTTTATTTTTACTTTTGTTAAATTCTTGTTTAGATTACTGTTTATCAAAACCCATCCTTTTTATGATTTTGCTTTTGATTTTCACATCATTTTATTTTTACTGTCTTTTATAACACTGGCATTCAATAGAAAAATAAGTGTTAAATCAACAAAATCTGTTAAATTATGTAAATTATAAATTTTTATGAGACAATAAGATAAATGTCTGCAATTAAAGGAAACATTTAAATGCAAAATACAATACAAACTCTCAATTTCTATGAATTTAGTTTTAAGATTTTGTTTGAATATTTAAAATTTAAAAACTTTGTTATTTTATTGTTGCAAAACATTTGAAAATATAATTTCACAGTAATTGAATAATTGGTTTTATATAAATTTATATCTAAATGGTTATCAAAAATCTAAATATATTTATTACATAATTTTTACAACGATATAACAAATGCATTGAATTTAAAGTTATTTTTGGCAATAATTCAAAACATTATTGAATATCCCGGGAATTATTTTAATGATATTTGAATTAAATGCTCAGTGAATAGAAGTGATGAACAATTTGTCAGACAATCAAACAATTATTAAAGAACTGATAATTATTGTATAAACTTTGGAGAGAGAGAGAGAGAGAGAGAGAGAGAGAGAGAGAATAAATGCATGCATTATATCTAAATTATGCAAAAGTATTGTATGAAAGAGGAGAGAATTTAATTGTTTTTAAATATTACGACAATTATATAACTAAATTATATACATTTAAACATATTTTAAAAGCTATTTTCAAACACATTAATGATATAACAGATGAAAAAATTATATTATTTAATAGATTTAGATCAAAAAGCTGTTCACACATTCACTTAAATTATAGTTTTTATTACTTTAGTGAAAGTTATTTTACGAAAAACTGAGCAAAAAACACGATTAAAATAAAAATCCTTGAAATATATTACAAAATTAATTTTCATTTGAAAGGCACCAAAATTGCTAATCCTTAACACTATATTATTATATGTTTTACAGATAACATGTTTTACAGATAATCACACTTTTTTTTAAATAATTCATTGCAATAATAATTTTATTGTGTACTTAATCTTTAATTGTCTTAATTTTATAAACACTTGAATTTAAACGAAAATTAAATCTTTACTGAATTGTGTGCTTATGTTTGAGAAGTTTTCATATTTGATACCCAAGAATAACAAGTTTTGAAATTAAAGTTAATTTCACAATTAGACATATTTTTCATTGAATTCATTAAATGAAAACACAATACGATTGTTAATGCATTTAATTTGTTTTCTCGTAGTGTTTCTCATCTCAGGATTTAGTCAATGAATACATAAGTTTTGGGGAAATACAACACTCTGGCCATGAATTACATAATACAAGTCATTTGATAGAAAATATTGAATTATTTTCACAACTTATTGTCAGAAAACTTATTAGAGGTAAATAATTCTTATGTTTTAATTATATTCTCAGTTTTTTAAATAAATTAAAAAGTTTTAATAAATTATAATTTATACTAAATATTAAAATTATTTTAGCAAATTCTGATTTATTGACAAATGTTATAATTTTTATGTTAAATAAATAATATTATGCTAACAAATTGTAAGTGTTGATAATATTATTAAACTAATTTGGCAATTTGTAAAGTTTAGCTTTGTTACATAATCTGTTATAATAAATATGTATTAATTTACATTATACTAAATTTCTTATCAACTTTTATTAATTTTTAATTAAATTAATTTAATAGGAATTTGTGTAAAACACGAAGAAAACGATTTCATTGATTATCTGTTATCAAAATATGGGATCGAAAATGAATCCAAGATTGGAGAACAAGGTATGAATTAATTGATTCAATTTTGTTTTCATTTTCGTTGATTTAATTTATGAAAATATTGATTTTGCCGTCGATTACTGTTTTAGAATTTGTAATTTTAATTTATATCTTATAAAAGCGGTTTAATTTTTATTTATTTTTTAATTATAAATGGATAAATTATTATTATAATTAAATTTTAAATGTAATAATTTTTTTAATTTATAAGTAAGTTGAGTAAACTTTTATTTCATTTATATATTTAAGGTTTTGAAAAACTTTTACACGATTTAAATATCGATAACGAAAATCACGAGAAACACAATGAGGAGGAAGAGGATCACGATATGCACGACCATCACAGACACCACAAGAGATCGGTTCCCATTCATCACAATAACGGCAACAATGAGTCGAAATCTCTTTGTTTGAATCATGACTTCTATTTGAATCGCTTTTCAAACGACGGGTATTTCGCGTCAAATGAAGTGAAAAACTTGTGCCCCGTTTTGTTGCAACAGATTGTGAGTCGGGTTTGTGTCGACGACCGCCACACCGATGACGACCACAACCATAACCATCGCATTCACAATCACTCGCATAATGACGAGCCGTCGGCACAGAAGTCAAAGTCCACTTCAAAGTTAACAAAAGCTGAGCGTATGTTTCATTCACACCAAATCTAATTTTAAAAACTTTAATTCTGTTTTGCATTTTTCTAAACAGTTTATGGCTATTCATCTTTGGCTGTATTCCTGATAAGTTTGACAGCAATTATCGGAATTTTCATTTTACCCCTTCTATCGAAACATTCATACAATTACGTTATGGTTTGCTTTATTGGTCTGTCATTTGGGACATTAGCGGGCGATGCACTCCTCCATCTCATACCCCATGCGTTGGGCATTCATTCACACGACGAGTCCTCTGCCCACACGAATGGCCAGCATTCGCACGACAGTCAACACAAGCACCAGAATTCAGGAATTCCTGATTTCTTGTGGTATCAGTTGTGTGTTTTGGGCGCAATCTATGGCTTATTTGTATTTGAAGTCATTATAAATGCTATTTATTCTGAAGATGATGTAAATATTAACCATTATTTTTGATTTAATCGCATAATTAATAAATTGTATAACCAGTCGGACGGACATCACGGTCACAGTCACTCACAGAAACCAGACTTTAATTTGAACACAACATCCAATTTAACGCCCGTTTCGACAAAAGACTCTCAAATTCATTTGGTATTTGAAATGTGTTTAATTTTGAGTACAATTTAAATTATTTTGCATTTATTGTGTGCAGACATCGTATTGCGATTCGAGCACAACATTGGACACCAATTCTGTGGGAACCGTTCAGTCGACCGAGAATTTGACTCTAAACAAGAGTAAAGGGAATGAAGTGATTCTTGAGGGCAATTCTGTGGTGTGGGGTTTGACACCTCTGGCAATGATGATCACATTAGGCGATGCCATTCATAATTTCGGTGACGGACTCGCCATTGGAGTCGCTTTCACTAGTGGTTACGCCGGGTATTCATTTACATTGAATCGTATACTTTATGACAAATCTAAATATCAAACTATTTCAGAGGACTATCGACTTCTTTTGCCGTATTATGTCATGAGATCCCACACGAACTCGGTATACATTGCTTAGCATGCACATTTATAATAATTGTGTTTTAATTAATATGTTGTTAAAATTTAGGTGATTTCGCAGTCCTGTTGTCGACTGGACTTTCTGTGACAAAAGCGGCAATAATTAACTTTATCTCCGCTCTGACGGCTTTCATAGGCCTTTATATCGGCCTAATATTGGGCGCCGACGAGCGCTCACAGAAGTGGATATTAGCCATTTGTGCCGGAATTTTCCTCTACGTAGCCCTCACTGATATGGTATACATTCATATCAATCACAAACGGTTCACACATTTTTGATTAATGTTTTCTTTGACTGAATAGTTGCCAGAATTGAAACATTCTTCGAAAGCCAAACATCCGATTCTATTGATTGTATTGAAGAATTTGGGTGTTTTGTTGGGCATCGGCTTAATGGCAGTCATTTCCATCTTTGAAGACAAGTTTCGCTTTGAATGAGTTTTTACGAGTTTTACGTGTAATTAAGTGCCGATTATAACATGTTTTAATTTTTTCAAAACATTTACATTTTTATTCAATTTAAGAAATGAACGCTTTTCTCATTGTATTTTTTCTGTAAATTATTTATTGTAATCTAAATAAAATCAATTTAAAAACTTTTATAAACTGTGTTTTAAATTTTTAGTAAGAAATTCTTGTCAGCCATCTTGTATCTCAAAACAGATCCATAAGAATGGGCGGTCACGTTAAGATTAGCACAGCTGATCTCTTCCCTACGCTTACGTAAGCAATGCCACGATCACGAGGACGAGGAAGAAGACAACGCCAGCGGAGCCCATCGCTCTCCGGCTCGCACTCCAGCTCAACAGCGAACACACAAAGACTCAAATTAACGATTCAACGGTAAAGAAGACTCCGGGCCTACCATCCAATCGTTCCTCCGTCTCGCCAAACGTGGTTCGCATTATGGAAAGTATAAAGTCGATCGCATTATGGAATATCTCGATGGCCAGGCCGTATACTAATTCGGTGCAGACATCCTATTAGATTCAGACGTCATGTGGACCACGGTTTGTGACAAACTAATTGCACGCTATGATCACTCCGACGGACAGCCCATCGTCGCCGCCTCAAAGATGACGAAACAGTCCGCCAGTACTTCGACCAGAAGACACGGATCTTACGGCGCATATCTGGTCTATTGAAAGTAGACATGTCTACAGCCCTAACCGAAAGACTTTCTCAGCACTATAAACAGTTGTTTCATGGCACTCGCCTGTGGCTTATCGATTGGCTTAAGAAAGCACTAGACATCGAGGCCGACAACAAGAGTGGGCTGCCGAAGAGCAACGCCTCGCACCACTTTAGCAGATCTCAACAACAACACGGGCACAGTTCGCACCGACAGAACTCGTCTAATCACTTCGCGACCGACTCCACTCGTGCGAATGGTAACTCAACACGTGGTCGCGGCACCTGTTGATCAAACCGCGGCCGGCCCTAACAATGGCAACCGCCCGCTGCCCGAGTGTTAAATATGTCAACAAAGAGGAGAAGTCGCTCATCAATATAGATTTTCCCACCGGGAGGGCACTCCGGCGTCATGTGCGGCACCACCGCCGCCATCGTCGCAATCATCACAACCCTCACAAAACGTGCATAAGAAAGCAATCGTTCACAACAGTGTCCGGCACTCCCGATATTTTTCTGATTCCTGGAATAATCTGATCATTTAAGCTATCAGCGTTAGCCGATCCGGGCTCTACACTAAACTTAATGCCAATTTATTTTATACAACACTTAAGTCTCACTATCGACAAGTCTCGCAGCAAAAGCGTTTCACTTGCCCGCGGTCCTGTCCAAACACTTGGCGAGGTTTCCCTCGACTACACGCTAGGAAGACTGAAGACACATACATAAGCAGTTAGCCAATAAAAGCCCGATTTATAAACATAACCCGTTAGTACCATACAATCTTAACGCAGCATTAACGCAATAAAAATACAAGACACATTTTACGACAAAGATAGGGCTCGCATTGCACACTCACATTTCTTACCATCGTTGTCTCTCTCTCTCTCTCTCAATCTGTTGGCCACCAGTGCTTTCGGCCGCAGGTTTGTGTAATAAATTGATATAGTTATTTTACATTTTAGTTTAAAACTAGATGTAAAATAAAGTTTTTTGTTATAGATTAACTTTTAATCT